ATTACAAATTCTTGTCGAACGTGTGCTGAAATAAAGCCTCGGTTTTATAAACCCAAAACTGGCGTTTTAATAAAAGCAACACAACCGTTTGAAAGACTCAATCTTGATTTTAAAGGACCTCTACCAAGCAAAACAAGGAACCGATATATATTAACGGTTGTCGACGAATATTCACGGTTTCCTTTTGCCTTCCCTTGCTCAGACATATCGGCTGCTGCAATTATACAATGCCTCTGCTCGCTATTCGCCATCTTTGGAGCCCCTGCCTATATACATTCGGACCGAGGGGCTTCTTTCATGTCAGAGCAGCTTCGACAATTTCTACAGAAACGAAGAGTAGCTATAAGCCGGACAACTCCCTACAACCCTAAGGGTAACAGCCAATGCGAAAGATATAACGGCACTATTTGGAAGACCGTTCAATTGGCTGCCTCAAATAAGGGATGTTCGATTGATAAATGGGAAGATCTCCTTCCTGTCGCATTATATGCCATTCGATCCCTATTGTGTACCGCCACGAATGCCACCCCACACGAAAGGTTTCTACCTTTTCAGCGACGGAGTTCGGCGGGAGCTTCGCTTCCATCTTGGCTCTCTCGACCCGGTTTTCTGAGACGACATGCACGTTACACCAAGAACGATCCCTTGGTGGACGAGGTAGAGCTTATAGAGGCGAACCCCCAGTACGCTCTAGTACGACATGCAGATGGTAGAGTCTAATGTGTCTCTCAGGGACCTAGCACCGGCCGGAGACGTACCCGGACCGTGGATAGCCCCTGAGGACAGACCAACTACCCCTGACATTGAAGCCCCTCCGGAAGATCATGGCACTGAAATTGCTCCTGACACGTCGTCTAATGACACTGTCTCCGTTGAGGCTCCGTCAAACACTTCGGATGGGCAAACACCTGAATCACTGACAGATGAAGGGCTAGCACCGAAAAAACGTGTTCATCCAGAGACTGACTCTGACGCGGAACGTCCTGCTCCTCTGAGAAGGAAACATTTCGGAGCAAGGTATTTTAGAGCCCACAGACAAACTCGCACTGAAGAGCCTCCCTGTTCGAGTACTCCGACCACGAATCATGGACTGCCGAGGCGGCCACTGCGAGCTCGTAGTGAGCCTGGACATTTAAAGGACTTTCTTCCCTATCAGTGAAAAATTTGGTGGGGGAGAATGTTGTGAATATGGATTATCTCCTCTTTGATAATCCAAGCTATAAAAGCTGTACATTTCCGCTTGTCAAGTAGACGAGTAGTAAGATTTTTAATTGAATAAAAGATTACTAGACAGAATCTCTTGTCCTGTTTTCATTACACTACCCCAAGTGGAGCTGTAAACCCTACCAGGATTTATTATCTGTGGGCGTAATTTTTAAATTATAATATACGCAGATGATACTGATGATGGCTAACACGAAAAGAAAACTGTAGGACTTCCTAGACAGAGTAATAAAAGAAAATGGGAAAACGAATAACCATCAATAGATAGAAAGCATCTTTGTTAGCAAAAGAAAAAGCCCAAGCTGCCATTTACAAATTAGAGATGTCAAAATCAATCATGTACAGAAGTTTAAATAACTGGGGATCTCGTTTTTTTCTGTGAGAAACCGCGTGAGTTTCTCAATAACTAAGGTAATAGCTACCAATGTAAATATCACTCACTGGAATGGTCAGTCTGAACGGTACAATGGAATTGTCTGGAAGCACATCTCATCCGCTTTGGCTTCGAGAAATCTTTGAGAGTGTGTTGGAAGTTGTTCTACCAGAGATATGGAATGCCATAAGATCTCTGCTGGTACAGCGCTAACAATGAAAGAAACATCTCGTACCAACGCCGGTTACCCAGTGGTCATTCCTTACCCACTTGCCTAGTGGTCCCTGTTCTTTTATACCGTAATTGGAAATTGTTAATCTGTTTTGTTTCATCGAGATCCCCCATAACTGTCAGTTGTGTAGTCGTGGCTTCACAATTTCGGCACATGTCAATAAATTGCGTGAGAGCTAGTGACGAATGTTGCAACATTCTTTTCCAAGTTTGGTTGTTACTCACATGTGGTCACGTAACAAGGAAACAGGTAAACATTCACAAAAATGACAAAATTTGGCTAGGTTATCTAGTGTAGTAATCTCACCTATTTTTATTCTTTCTTGTTGAAAACATACTGTTTATATATTTTTTATTAATCTGTCCGATGAACTGTTCGTCAAAATCGTCTATTATCATATCTAGGTCATCTATCATCTGCATACGGACGGAAAGCGTGTAGAAAAGGGGCAGTTTAGTACTCTTTATTTTGATCGGCCAGTTTGATCACAATATTGTAATTAATCCACATCTGTTTCAAGAGTTTCCATTTTTCAGAAGTACTTGTTTTTGTATCCAGCTTGCCTGCCAGTGATATATTTTATTAGAATCTTTCCGCTACTTTCACACACGTGGGGACGCCTCGTGCTAATGGCTGATGAACGTCACTGAAACAGTATATGTGGGAATTTTTAGACGTAGTCCGCATTGTAAGATCTACAGATGTTTACATGAGGTATTTGATAGCACTATCCTTCACCAATACAAAATTGCAGTTCTTGAGTGAATCTGGCACAGACGATGCACTTGGTTTATTTAGAAGATGATGTTATTTGTGTCATCCCCAATTTCAACATAAAATAAATTGATATTTGCATGTACAACCTAATCGCAGATCGACTGCACATTAAAAATGAGGTACACAGTATTAAACAAGAACCATGAATTATGCAAAAATATTGCAAAGTTGAGGAAAGATGACAGCAAGTTATAACAATGTAAAAACCAAAATCAGAAAAAAAAGGAGAGTAAGGAACAAAGATTTGAAAGCACAAATCATGCAAAGAAAGGATTTCTGACAGTCATTAAACAAAGCAAGTACAGTAAAAATCAAGGAACATGATGTGAGGTTCAACCAGTATGCTTAAAATAGGATGTGTCAGTACATTCAGAGGTGACTTTTTGAAAAACTTAAAAAGAAAATAGGAATCACATAAGGCCAAATGCTAAAGAAATTTGGCATAACAAAAATGTAGAATGGCTGAAGGAGGTTAAAGAAATTTTAAAAAACGTGAAAGTCCTGGGATATTTGAGAAAGGATAAAAAGTAAAAAAAAAAAATTGGCCAAAATATAAAGCACATAACCCTGATGTAGTCAACAGGTATTTAGCTAAAACAGTTCACAAAATTCCTTTCCCATGATAAAGTATCTGTGCATTGAAACAAAGTTTCAAACGATGGAATTGCGGATGACAAGAGCTAGAAAATGTGTTGCAGGTGATATATTGGTCCGCAAACAGATATTGAATGACAGGAGACAACACCAAACAAAACGGAGACATTAGTAAACAGAATATTGCCAAGTTTATTGTCTTTAAAGAAAATACAGACAAAATATGAGACAGATCTTGGCATATTCGCATAAAATGTGAGAAGAGTGTTGTCCTGAAATGGACAGTTTTGTAGTACAGTGAAGAACGTTTTCAAGAAAAAGGCACTTTTGCAGTATGGGGAAGAGCGTTGTTCTCAAAAAACACATAGTTCGGTGTCCTCAAATAGACAGTTTTGTAGTAAGGTGAAACGCATTGTCCTAAAAAATGCGCTTTTGTAGTTTGGTGAAGAGTGTTGTCTTGAAATGGATAGTTTTGTAGTACGGTGAAAAGCGTTGTTCTGAAAAAGACACTTTTGTAATACAGTGAAGCGTGTTGTCATGAAAAAGACACTTTTGTAATACAGTGAAGAGTGCTGTCCTCAAAAGAAAAACTTTGTAGTTTGGTGAAAAGCATTGTACAGAAAAAGAAAATTTTGTACTTCGGTGAAGAGTGTTGGCCAGGAATGAACACTATTGTAGTACGGTGAAGAGCGTTGTCCTGAAAAAAACACTTTTGTAGTATGGTGAAGAATGCTGTCCGGAAAAAAACACTATTGTATAAGGGTGAAGAGTGATGTCCTGAAAAAGTCACTTTTGTAGTCCAGTGAATTGTGTTGTTCTGAAATGGAGAGTTTTGTAGTACGGTGTTGAGCACTGTCCTGAAAAAGACACTTTTGTAGTTACGCGAAATGTGTTGTTCTGGAATGGACTGTTTTGTATTCTGGCGAAAATCGTTGAAAAAGACACTTGAATTTTAGTGAAAAGTGTTGTAATGAAATGGACACTTTTGTAATATAGTGAGGAGTATTGTCCTGAAAAACAAAATTTTGTAGTACGGTGAAGAGCGTTGCCATGAAAAAGACACTTTCGTAGTGAAGAGTGTCGTCCTGAAATGGACAGATTTGTAGTATGGTGAAGAGTGCAGTCCTGAAATAGACACTTTTTTAGTTCAGTGAAGAGTGTTTTCACTGAAAAAAAAAATATGTGTGTGTGTGTGTGTGTTTGTGTGTGTTTTGCAGACTCTCCGTCACATTTCCTCCACTACCCATCTGTCATTTACTAATAAATGACACACGAGCATTCATATCAACAAAATTTGAGAAAACCCAGTCCAACATGCTTCTTACTGGGGTCTACTTAAACATATGTCTCTTCCAGCATGCAAAGGTAGGGTCCTTTAGTTCTTCTTTAGGGCTCATTGTGCCCATTTACATTTTCATTGTCCTTACGATACATATGTACATGCAACTTCCGGTTAAATTTCACTGTTTTGGTGATCTCGTGCAATAGAACCTTTTCACATAGTTCACTAGTTCGAGTGTTCTTTCCTTTTTTTCTTTTTTTTTTTTTTGAGTTCACAACACTCCTTACCAATTATTTCAGTCTCATTACTAAAAATAAAAATAAGAAAATTCGATTTATTTCGTAAATCAGTCCCTCCGATTTTGTCTCGCCTTCACAACAAGCTTTGTCGAATCTTTTGTTGGTTCAGGTCCTTCCACGACAATCGTGAACTCTTCTTCAATATCAGTTAGGGGTCCCAATGCACTCGGGTCGGACCTACCTTGGTAAAGTACACTAATTGGAATCCCTCCTTCACTCATGCACTCCCGTGCCAGTCTATACTGCCCGGTCGACAACATCGTACGCCTCTTCAACCACCGCCAAACCAGCAAGGCCACGATTATCATTAGTATAATTCCCACAACGGTCAGCCAGGTTATTATAGCAACCCAATTCTCTCTCCAGCCTGAATTCGGCGTACCTATCTTATCTAACTCCGACTTCAACCGTCCAATCGTTCTGGCGTTATTATACTCGGAGACAAGTGTCCCAGCGACAACATGTCTAATTGTGCTCTCACATGCTCTAACAACACCGTTAAAGAGCGAGTTGTTTGATGTACCTTACTCATTACAGCTAATAATTGAAAATACCTTTTCAAAAACCCCTCTAATTTCTGTAATTCGGTTGTTACAGACGTGGTTACATTTATCACTTCTTTTCTAAAAACCTGTAGGTGAGAAATCAACCAATTGATACTCCCTCTATTCTTAGCCAATTCCAGCCTAGTAACATAGAGTATGGATACACTCTCTCTAAGCGACTGAGCCATTCCTTGTTGTCTCTGTTCTACCACCTTTAATTTCCTCTTAATTACTCTCACTTCGTCTTCGGAGACTGTACCAAACAACACGCTTAATGCCTTTCCCATTATAGGTAATACTGCCCTCTTTTACCTGATCCGTAACAATCTTTTCAAATAGTAACTCATATCCTTCCATTGTCTCTCAAGTATTAGGAATTCCTGAACTAAGGGGTATAATATACGGTGGTATTCCGGAGTCTGTAAATATTCTCCGGCGACTTGGGTCCTGGCTGTATCTAGTTTGTCCATTTCGGTCTTCAACTGACCCAGTAACTTCTCATACGACTGCAGGTCTATCACCAAAGTTATCAACCACTTTGATCTAGTTATAATCACTTCGCTAGTCTTCTTAAATACAGTATTCTCACTGTGTTCCTAGGTATTAGCTACCACAACTAGCATTGTCAGTACCACGAGCCTCCTCTCGTCCGTGTCTGCAAGGAGATGGAGAGAATAATTCGTCTTACTGTTTTTAGCGGTTTCTTAGAGCAAGCACCGACCCACACCACCACCAGTGCCGTGCATGCATGGGGCCGTCTACACAGTTCACCAGCACTGATGATAAATGCGCAGTTAGTCTCAGACCGTCACTCATTCATCACAGCCACTGTACTGGTTTCACTTAATCCTTGGGCTCAGGCTGCACCGCTCCCCTCAATCGCCGTTTTAGCGGTAATTCCTCATTAACACTAGGTGTTTTTTCGGCCTGCAATTTACTCTGCAATTGAGCTAACGGAATTTCATCCTCTTCTTCCCATTCACTCAGTTCTTCTTCTTCCCTAAGGTTAGGCTCAATCCCTGCTTCCTCAGAATGTCCCGCTGGGCAGCGACTTACCTCCCTCAGCCTTCGAAGGGTAGTTAGGCTAATTTCAATCTCCTCACTCCCTTCACTTTCACTCTCAGTTGGTAGAACCCTTCAGGTTCTACCAACGTAGTTTTCCTCAGCCTTTTCTGTTGAGTTTTTGTTTTGGCTCCTTTCCATCCTCCTATTTCAGCTAACTTTATATCATTCGCATGCACTCTCTTTACCTGTCCGATCAATTGGTCCCAGATCGCAAAGAAAACCAGACCCGTCTGCTCCACGATCCTATAGTATGGACTCCATCTCTGGTCCAATTTACCTTCTCTCATGTGTATTTTATAATACACTGGATCACCTATCTGGAAGGAAACTTCGTCTCTATTTTTATTTACCCTATCGTTTCGCCTTTTCTGGGCTCTTTGAATCCTCCTCCTCACCTGCGTAAAAAGTTTTATGCTGTTGTTCTAAAACTATTTGGTGATGATCCTCTCCTAAATACTTCCTCCTAGGTCGCAATAGATTGTCTATAGGTAAGACTACATCCCTGCCATATATCAAGTAATAAGAGGAAAATTTTGTCGTCTTGTTCATCGAGAATCTCACAGCTGCTAACGCTTGGGTTACGAATAAATCCCAATTTTCCCTATTATCCTCTGTTAGTTTAGCTAACACATCAGCGAGGGTCTTATGAAATCTCTCTACCTTAGCGTTATTTTTTTTTGAGGGGGGGGTGATATGGAGAGGTGGTAATTTAATTCTCCCAACGTCTCTCTCATAATCTGATTCACATTCTCCGATCATTTATCGGTAACCAACTGTTCGGGAGCTCCATACCTAGGGAATATTTCGTTCAGTATTATGACACCGTTCGTGCCTTCTTATCCGGTATGGCAAAGAAGGTCTAGAATTTCAGCTCTCAACTTCTCAGGTATCACCACTTTTTAAACTTACTTCCTCATCTCTTCCTGAAAGGTAATACAACACTCCATATATTTGGAGGTACGTCCTGCCTCTACCCGGGACCTGATAGTTGCTATCTCGCTATCCTCTTGGCTTTGCCTAATAATATCTCTCCAGTGGGGGTCGGATATAATCTCCATTTCACTCGTTTCCTGATCTTCCCAAACAAGTCTCTCCTCCAACACCTGTGAATTGATCGCATTAATTTGAAATGCTTTATCATCTACACCCGGCTCCAACCTGACAGATTCGGTCTCTAGTTGCCTCGGAATCCTCGATAACAGGTCAGCACAAATATTCCCTGCCAAGTATTCTATTTTGCAGTTATACCCACTTAACTTCAATGCCCACTGTTGTATCTTCTTATTCGTCCACTCCGCATCTAACAAATATTGGAGGGGTCTGTTTTAATGGTAAACACAGCCCCACTCAAATAATAATCTAATTTCTGCACATCATACAGAATAGCGAACGCCTCCTTTTTTATTACTGGCCACCTTTGTTGAGTCTCGGAGAGCTGATGAAACAGAAAATAGATCGGCACTTCCTCAGGCACACCCGGTACTGGTCCATCCTTATCGGGACATGGTTGCGTAAGAACCGCCCCGATGCACTTATCGCTAGCATCGGTGTACACACCATGGGCTTACTCAGGTCTGGGTAGGCCAACAGGGGTACAGCTGTCAGCTGGTCCTTTAAAGCCTCGGATGCACGCTGACAATCCTCGGTCCACTTAAACCTAGCATGCTTCTTAGAGCTATTAAATGGCCTGCTAGCCGACTAAATGCTGGTATGAACCCCCGGTAATAAAAATAAATTAAGTTTACTTCTGGTTCTTGCCAACTGGAAAGGTAGCCACGTCATACCCTCTATCCTCATCCTGTTACTATTGTCCTGGCTTATTAGTTGATCGACGGGACTAAGCTTCGTTTTCAGTCCCAACTGTCTAAAAACCTTGGAGCTAACCAGTGACATTGAATCTCCAGTATCGACAAGGGCCTTTACCTTCTTACCTCCCACCAACAGATTACAGGTGAAGTCTGGCCCTTCTTTCAGCAAACGGTATACCTGTGCCTTTCTTTTTTCCGTATGTTCTCTTCCTCCGAGACGTGGGAGTCGGTGACAGGAGTTCAACTTTTTCTAGGGGCTCCCATTTCTGTCTAGGGGCCCTCCTGGGTGGGGTGGTGCTCGGATGACTCTCTTTTCTCGGACTAGGAACCCATTTCTCCCCTCCATTCGAGTTAGGGTTGTTCCGTTCGGTGTAGACAGGTTCATCTTGCGAGGACAGGTTCATCTCAGGTGTACAACTTGCCGAAAAGTGCCCGACCACCCCACATGTCTAGCATCTCAGAGGTCTTACTTGCACTGGGGCCACCCTGCCTCTTACTTTTTCACGGGTGACCCAACGGCGTTTCCCGGACCCTTTTCCTTCTCGGTAGGAGGCACTAGCATATTAACTCGCTTTATCCCCAGTTTAATGTCTCCCTCTGCTGTACACCACCGAGCCTTGTGCCCGAACTCGCCACAAGTCATGCAGTTCGACCCCAAAGACCTCCCAGGGGTCTATCCAGGTCAACACGGCACCAGTCTAACACTTTCGCCCCAACCTCCGACGACTTACTCTCTGGGTTGAGGTGTCTACTCGGTCATAACCGAATTTAAGGGAGTGGCCGTAGGTCCCCTGAGCATCCGTAGATTATTCGGCCGGTCCACTGCTTCCTGCCTACGTTGTGTTTGATCCAGAAAGCAGAAGTGATGTTCATCCATTCATGATTGACTGAAGATGTAGACACGGCTAGAGAGTCTGCGCTAAGAAAATGCAGCAAAAAAAAAAAATGATCTGCAGAAAGCAGGACAAACAACTATTCAATGATTGAATTGTTAATGTCTTTTATATAGCAGAAAGAATAGTATAGAAAAGAAACGGGTTACAGAAAAGAAAAATAATTGACGTAGAAACGCATACACTGGATTCTGAACACAGAGAGAGTGTGCTATGATTAACTTGTTGTTAAATCGTCTCAGAACGATATACGACTCTTGCGATGGGGAAATAAGATTTCTGTGCGTGGCTTAAAGTTTATAGTGGCGTTCAGTAACAGTAGTAGTAATATTTGTGTTAGCAGAGCAGCAGTACTTATATCAACAGCGCATGTTAGCGGCCGCTTCGTTCCAATCTCTGACGTCACGTTCTCTCCTTCTTGAGCCTCTCTCTCTTCCGTCTCAACGCTCGCCCGCCCGCCCGCCTGCTCGCTCGCCCGGGCTAATTCTCTCTCCTCTCTTCAAGAAATTTCTCCCGTCTGCCTTCTCGCCCGATTGTCGCTCGCCCGGGCCAACTCTCTCTTCCCTCTTCAAGAAATTTCTTCCGCCGGTCTTTTTCAGCATAACTACGCGTTTATATAGAAAAATCCGACTGGTTACAACTGAACCTTGGTCGCACGTGATTATCACGGGGTTTTGGCTGTTTCAACCAAAGTCATGTGAATTCAAAAGGACTTTCTAGCTTACTCAGCTCTATTTCAATTTTTAATCGATAAAAATTTATTTTGGCCATTTCCATTGTCTCTGATGACCCAGATTCAATGAGTACAACTTCTGGCTTAGATTAAATTTCCACATCAGTAAACAAAATGCTCTGACTTAATTTCACTATTCAAAATCTATTCCAAATTTTAATCAATAAAAAGTATTTCAACCATTTCCATTGTCTGCTAATGACCCAGTTCCAATGGGTACAGCTCGTGCCCTAGATCAGATTTCCCATCAGTAAACGAAATTGCTCTGATCTAATTTCGCTGTTCAAATCCAGTCCAAATTCCACTAAAAAAAAAAAATATATATATATGTGTGTGTGTGTTTGTGTGTGTTTTTCAGACACTCTCTCCATCACAAGTATGGTGAAGAGAGTTGTCCTGAAACAGACACTTTTGTAGCTCGATGAAGAGTATTGTCCTGAAAATGGACAGTTTTTTTTTTGTACAGTGAAGAGCATTTTCCTGTAAAAAATACTTTTGCAGTACGGTGGAGTGCGTTCTACTGAAAAAGCACTTCCATAGTTCGTTGAAGAGTGTTTTCCTCAAATGGACAGTTTTGTACTATGGTGAAGAGCGTTGTTCTGAAAAAGACACTTTTGAATTTTAGTGAAAAATGTTGTAATGAAATGGACACTTTTGTAATATAGTGAGGAGTACTGTCCTGAAAAACAAAATTTTGTAGTACGGTGATGAGCATTGTCCTGAAAAAGACACTTTTGTAGTACGGTCAAGAATGTTGACCGTAAAATGACACTTTTGTAGATCGGTGAAGAGTGTTGTCCTGAAATGGACAGTTTTGTAGTATGGTGAAGAGTGTTTTCCTGAAAAAGACATTTTGCATTAGATAAACGGAATTGTCCAGAAAATATACCTTTAGTAGTTCGGTGTAAAGTGTTGTTCTGAAATGGACAATATTTTTTATTACGGTGAAGAGCATTGTCCTGAAAAAGACACATTTGTAGTATGGCGAAGAGTGTTTTTCTAAAAAAGATACTTTTTTAGTATGGTGGAAAGAGTTTTCCAAAAAATTACATTTTTCTAGTTCGGTGAAAAGTGTTGTTCTGAAATGGAGAGTTTTGTAGTTCAGTGAAACGTGTTGTCATGAAATGGGCAGTTTTGTAGTAGAGTGTTCTCCTGAAAAAGACACTTTTTTGTATGGTGAAGAGTGTTGTCCTGAAAAAAAAAACACTTTTGTGAAGAGTTTTGTCTTCAAATGGAAAGTTTTGTATTACGGTTTAGTGCATTGCCCAGAAAAACACAATTTTGTACTTTCGTGAAGAGTGTTATCCTCAAATGAACACTTTTGTAGTATGGTGAAGCACGTTGTCCTGAAAAAGACATTTTTGTAGCACGGTGAAGAGCGAAGTCCTGAAAAAGACACTTTATCGTTCTATGAAGAGTGTTGCCCAGAAAAAGACACTTTGGTAGTTTGGTGAAGAGAGTTATCCTGAAATGGACAGTTTTGTACTATGGTGAATAGCATTGCCCTGCAAAAGACAGTTTTTATTTTGGTGAAGAGTGTTTTTCTGAAAAAGACATTTTGTAGTATGGTGAAGAGAGTTTTCCTGAAAATTACACTTTTGTAATTCAGTGAAAAGTGTTGTCCTGAAATGGACAGTTTTGTAGTATAGTGAAGAGTGTTTTCCTGAAAAAGACATTTTGAAGTATAGTGAAGAGAATTGTCCTGAAAATAACACTTTTGTAAGTTCGGTGAAAAGTGTTGTTCTGAAATGGACAATCTTGGAGTATGGTGAAGAGCGTTTTCCTGAAAAAGACACTTTTATGGTTCAGTGAAGAGTGTGGTCTTGAAATGGACAGTTTTTGTAGTACGGTGAAAAGTGTTGTCCTGAAAAAGAAACTTTTATAGTTCAGTGAAGTGTGTTGCTCTGAAATTTTGTAGTACGGTGAAGAGCGATGTTGTTGAAAGGCACTTTTCTAGTACGGTGAAGAGTGTTGTCCTGAAATGGACCGTTTTCTAGTTCGGTGAAAATTGTTGTCCTGGAAAAGATACTGTTGTAGTTCGGGGAAGAGTGTTTTGCTGAAATGGACAGTTTTGTCGTACGGTGAAGAGTGTTGTCCCGAAAAAGACACTTTTGTAATACTGGGAAAAGCATTTTCCTGAAAAAGGCAATTTTGTACTATGGTGAAGAGTGTTGCCCTGAAAAAGAGACATTTGTTGTTCGGTTAAGAGTATTGTCCTGAAATGGACAGTTTTGTAGTATGGTGAAGAGCTTTTTCCTGAAGAGTGCTGCCCTGAAAAAGAGACTTTTGTAGCATGGTGAAGAGTGTTGTCCTAAAAACGACAGTTTTGTAGTGCGCTGAAAAGCGCTATTCTGATAAGAACAGTTTATCGTGTATTGATGCTGGTGAGAGCCGGCTGGAGCTGCTGTTGGCGAAGGCTGGCTGAGGATGAATCCAACAACATTCAAACAAAAATAAAATTATCTGCAATACCCATCCACCCCACAAAAAAATAAGAGCTGCCACTGTATTCTGCAGATAAGCAGAATCAAGAAACTCGGTTGCTTGAGGGGAGGGAAGAACAAAATAAATTAGGGAGTGGGAAAATTTTAAAAGCTGATTCACTCAAGATAAAAAGTGGATAAAAACAAACTGGAAGATTGGGAATCTTGACAAGGACCGTAACAAAAGAGAACACCTGGAGCATGCCGGGGACGACAATCGCTCATATTAACTAGGTGAAATAAATAAGAGTTTACCTTTACCAGGGTTGTGATCCTGCAGCAATCCACCCAGTTGTGTCTATAGGGGACTAAAAAGAGATCAAGGCTCGCCTGATTCACATGAACCAAGCATGCAAATTTTACCCACCTTCCGCTGAAATCTACCGAAAGCAAATGCTTTCTATCAGTTCTAATCTTCATCCTGAGCTGATGCCTAAATAATCCAATCAGATCCTGATAAGAATAGCGTTCATCCCGTAAGATTCAATCAGACCAGACCACGAGAGAGACACTTTATCGCACACGTATGCGAGATCGATAGACACAAGATATCCGGGATCGATACGAGCCATCAACTCGACAACATGATCCCAGAACGGGCGCACCTGTGGTCAGTTGAAGGCGTGTCCAGCCATTTCTTCTAAAGCAAGACCACACCGGTGACAGTTGGGTTATATCTGCCAAGCCCACTTTGAAAGCCACGTCATTGAGAGATAGCGCGTTCCGGATCGATCGCCAGGTAAGCGAAAACTCAGGGATGCTAAGGAACAGAAAGAGCGCAATTCACAAGCCGAGCCGCCCACAGAGTGAGTCCAACGCGGCTCCTTCCACTAATTCTTGATACAACGCTTTCGACCCAGGCCATGAAAGTCACTGGACTGAGGAGTAGCACGCAAAGCCTTTCGACACACGGCGAAGAATTCAGACTGATTTCGAGGTTTAAGATGGCGCCCGAACTCAGAAATGGCAGGAATGATAAGGCTAGAAAACTAACATGATGACATTGTGACATCCCCAGCTCCCCATGACACGGACGCTGATAACAGACTTCTCTGCGGACCAACGGCTTGCCTCCCTCGCCCCAAAAGAGGGAGAAGAACAAAGTCTTGATCGACTTCCAATGCCCCTTGGAGAGAGGGAGTCACGACATTCGGTAAAGGATGAGATGAAAGATATACACGGAGCACACCTCAGCCCTACCCTTTAAGTGAAACCGCCTTCGGAACTAAGTCCGGAACGACTTCCTACCTCTGCCAATACCTCCGACCAATTCTCCAGCTGGAGTTCTGGCACAAACCACACACCAATAACGTGGACAGGACCCTGGTAAGAGCAACGTCCTTCCAAGACTATATCAGGAACTCTTATTACGGTTAAGCTAAAAGTAGGGGCGACAGCGGACAACCCTGATGATCCGACCGTGAAAGCACAAAAACACACAACCATTTTTTGTTCACTTGTACTATGGCATTGGGAGAGGGATACAGCAGGCTGATCGACTTGCAGAAGTCGGGTTGAAATCCGACGGCCTGCAGGACAGCAGCCAGGTACTTATGGTCGATCTTGTCGAATGCCTTTGACTGATACAAATTGATCAGCGTGGCTTCTTCGTCGTCCTTTACACGCTCTAAGAGCGAGCCAATCAGATGCATGTTGTTCTGGATTGTTTGGTCCTTCACAGTATAAGACTGTTCCGGACTCAAAGAATGTCGGCAACTGACTGCCGACGCTCTGTCAGGGTCTTAGCCAAAACTTTTAACTCGGTATTTAGCAGAGTTATGGACCTGTAGTCGTCTAAATCCTGCCCAATATGTTTGACTTTTTTTCAACAGCCCCTTACGAGACAAGTTGTAGAGCACCATTATCAAAATCGAAACAAACAATTCGTGGGCAGACCATCAAATTCTGAAAATTGTCACTGCCTTCCTTCTTTAATACCTCGTGGACACGCCCTCGCAGCCAGCTGCTTCAGTCGACGAGAGCCGAGGAAAATTGAGCAAATAGTTGCGAAACTCTTCGTCACAGATATCAGGCTACTTGGTAAAACGGTTCTGGAAATGCTGCTGAAATGACTCCCAAATTTCGTTGATCGACCGCGGAATACGCCCGTTCGGAGTGTCGACATGCCGGATGTAACGATCGGAACCCCTACGTATTTCCATCTTTCTCAATTCTGCGCCGATATTCACAGCTTCGTTAGAATATCTTTAAGTGCCTTCACCTAAGGTGAGTTTTTGGTTAAATTTCGGTAGTGAAAGACCTAATTCTATCTTTAAGGCTCTCTTACCACTAATAACCGCCACATCGCCGCTACGCTAATATAGTCAGCTGTAGACTGAAATCCGCCCTGTCCGGTAAGGACAAGATGAACTCCGAGTGTCCAGCCATTCTAGGCCTAGTGTCTAACGCTATCCGGGCACAAACAAGATGAATAACCTAACCAGTGAAACGTGGAACAATCTATCAGATCTAGATTGACCCTTCTCACTAACATTCTATCCAGGTAGCTACCGGAGTGGTCGACTGATTAAGAGCCCACGTCCATATCTTCCGATCAGATCAACCAAACTACAGTCACGCAACCTCCCGCTAGCTCCCCTCCCCCGCCATCTGAATTGGCGTCCAGGATGGCATTTTCTCATTAAGACAAGACGTGCAGGATCCACCAGGAACGGCACCAACTGACAGAAGAACAAGCAACGACCCGTCTGGTCACTGGGCGCACAAAACTATCAACCCCGCCATTTCCACAGTATCGATATGGACATGGTCCACCCTCGTGTCTAGAGTATGCTTAACCAGCAAGGAAACACCTCTGGCCAGCCAGTCCTTCTTCAAAGAGGAGGACCAATGTTGAGACATTTTTAAAATTCCCTGTGCAAGTTTAACCGTGGTAATTGCAACTACCAACTGCAACTTCCACTATTGTTGTTCTTGTTGTTGGTCTTGTAATTGTTGTTGCCTTGCTGTTGTTATCCTGTTTCTGTTGGTGTTGTGTCCACTGCTTTTGTCAACACTCCTTTTGTTGTTGCTGCTGTTGAAGTTGCTCCAGTTGCTTCTATTGTTGTTGGCTGGCAACTTTGCCTGAAACATCAGCTAGGGTTTTTCCTTCGGGACAGCCTGCTGGGGAGGAGGTGTTGCAGTCTTTATTCACCTCCTCATGACTTCCTTCCAACTGTCGGTGACTTGACGGACTTTTCCTGCCCCACTGCTTCTTTCAATGTTGATTATTGTGGCTGTAGTTGTAGTGTCAGGTTCTTATTAGGGCATGACTTTGACAACAGTGGAGTCGGCATTCTTTCACAATAACAAATATTGTTCAGTCATGACACATCAATCTGTCGAGGATGTCCAAAGAGCTCTTAAGTTTCATTGTCACTTGGAGGACAAAATCCCTGATGGGAATGCAGGCTTTGCTTGTAGCAGATAAGACATCTCCAAATTGTCTATACTTTGTGAAAAAAGCCTTTAGAGGAATATGAAAATCCGGAAACAACTATTAAAATAATACAATAAAATTATTTTAATTCTATATCTGATATACAGAAATTAACAACTTTGAAAAAGTGTTTACATTTGTTACTGTAACTGTTGACAAAATCTGACACACACACACACACACACACACACACACACACACATATATATATATATATATATATATATATATATATATTTTAAACATATATTATTAAATATAACAGACAACGAATGTCTATTATGTCTAATCATGAGTCATTCTAATGTTCAAATGCTTGCTTTAATTTCTAGTGAAAATAAAGACAAAAATTGTCCAACATTTGGATATTTTTTATTAAGTTGGTCCTAAGCTTTCAGCCCACATGAGCCATCCTCAGGCTAGCTATACTGACACAAAACAAAGATATCCACTGTCAAAGATGATATTTTTAAAAATTTTGACATAGAAGATCGCTATGTAACATTAAAAGTCACAGAACAGCAGACACAGATTGTAAGTTCATGATGCAGTTCTATGATGTCATATCATGCGATAGACCAAAGTATTACAACAGAACCAATGTCTAGATGTAATGTAATGTGTTGTGACTAGTTTGAAATGTAATTGTGTTGAGTGTGTGTTGCTTCATTTTAATGTAACTGGCCTCCAATATCTGAAGGTTCTTTTTACTGTGTGTATGTGTGAGTATTATTGTATTGTCAACTAATATCTAATATTATGTATAATAATATTATATATATATATATATATATATATATATATATATATATATATATATATATATATATAATATAATTAGTGTGGACAGAGTTCAACAATGAATGGTGATGACAGTTTGATACATGCTTAAATCTTCTGGGCTGAAAATTATATTCAAGCATAAAACTTGAAGTTGCCACCCAATGTTGAACTCTATTTACATATGCTCTCTCCCAGATGTAACTTTTAATCTATAAATATGGTCTAAAACTATATTATAAATATATCTTAAAACTATATATATATATATATATATATATATATATATATATATAGAGAGAGAGAGAGAGAGAGAGAAGACAGACAGACACAAATGGAGGAAAGTGGATGTATGTGGACATAGGAATCTACATTGAAGATATCACTGAAGATCACAACTGCAATTAATTCTATATCTGATATACAGAAATTAACAACTTTGAAAAAGTGTTTACATTTGTTACTGTAACTGTTGACAAAATCTGACACACACACACACACACACACACACTTTTGACTAAATTGAAGCAAGAAGACAAAGATTCTAAAATCGGAATTTTCTAACATGCCTATGTCCTTTTTCAATGATACAGAGACTAGATAAAAAAGTGGGACTTACTTTTCCGAGGAATGTTGGTTTTATATATATATATATATATATATATAACAATACAAATTAATAGCATCTACGAAAATTTCCAAAATTTAATGTATTTTAAAGTAAGCAGAATTTTTTACCAGCAAAGTGCTATATAGTCAACAAATTAATAAATGGTCATATGAATTATGATAGTAATGATAATAATCATGTAATTTAAACATTTATTCATACACTAAGTATATATATCTGTGTGTGTGTGTGCGTGAAGTAAACAAAAACTTAAATACACTACACAAGGATACACACTTCAATATTTCATTGAACAGAGAGCAATACTAAGTATATAGATATTTCTACAAAAATGTTTTAACCTGTGTTTATCAATACTTCTTTTTTACTTCAATTCAAGGGAAATGATATAAAATCCTTTAAAAAAAAATGTTTCAGATACATTTTTTATTATTTTTTTAATATTTTGTTTTTCATCTACTCTTGTATTTTTCTTTCTTATAATGATAAAGAAAAAAAGCTTAATCAAATGTAACCTAAAAATATAAAATCAATAGAAAAAAATTATGTTAGAATTTTTTTTAACAGTCAAAATTTATGCACAAAAATAATAATTGATTATTATTTCATTTATGTGTGTATATATTTGTTACATTATGTGAGAATGTAGCACAGTGTATTTGTGAATCTGTGTTTATAACTCTTCTTTACACAATTTGCTTTTCTCTTACAAATTATATTACAAAATCATAAACATATCATTCTCAAAACCCATTTGAATTAATTAAATGCAATTTCTATTTTAATAAAATTTTCAAACAATTAAAAAAGATCCAGTAATCGTTATGCAGATTAAAATTTGATTCTATACAACTTACGTGAAATATCAAGGGGAAACTAAACAAATAGATGCTATGTGTTGCACTCAAGGGAAGCAAATTTCGTCAAATATTTTATAGTTATTGTTCTTGTATTTTCAGGGGAGATAACTCTTTGCTTAATTTGGATACTCATTTCATTAATTTGTTATGTTTAGTCTTCCCATTTAATAAAACTAACATGAATAAAATTTACAGTACTTTTAATAAGCATTTGGTAAAACAAATCTAATCTTCATTTTCAGAATTAAAAATAAAAAAATTATCCAAGAACCAAATTTTATTTTAATCAATAAGAATGCTTTCAAAGCCGACACTAGGGTCTCCCCACACCCATTGAAATTTTGATACGTGGCCCACTCTTTACTACATATCGATTTCAAAGTTCTCCAAATGCCACACATCCTCGAAGGAGAATTGTGGAGGTGGAGGCGGGTTGCAGCGCTTTTTCTTAATTAACAAAACATCAGGAAATTATCCAATGTAAATGAAAATTTCAGTACATATTCATTATTTACTTTTATAATGTGAAGATTTTTTTTCTTTAAAAAAATCTGAGAAAATGTTATTTTTTGTAATAACCACCAGTACTTTCCTGATTAAATTCTACTCGAAAAAAATATTTAAGTTGCAAATTTTTACATTTCCATCAAGATTAATCGCCGACACATCCTGCGGAATTTTTTTTTCCAAAGATTTCAACACAACACAAACGTGATTGTCTTAAAAATGTGTCTCATGCTTCGTTAAACATTTTCATTTTTGAAGCGATCATTTCTCGGTATTATCTTTCTAGAAATGTAAGAAAAATAGGGAGTAGACATTTAAAAAATCAGAGATCCTCCTTAGTGGATGATCTTGAAATAAAAAATAATTTTACCGAGATAATTCTTAATTGAAAGAAAATTACAATTTAAAAAATAAACACTACTGTTCTTCCCCTCCCCGGTAGGCATGGGGCCCCACGTGGTTGAGAGGTTTGGGGTAGAAAGCACCGACCCTTTCGATTAGTGGATGACTGACAATATAACTTGTTCTCTGATTAAAGTTGAATTTAAAAAGCAAACTAAAACATGGAATAATATAATATTCAACAATGCATTATACAGTGTAAAGACATGTTTGTTGAATTGAGTTCTAGGATTTATATTTACGCAAAATACCACAAAATATGAAATAAAGCAACACAAAAACCCTTTTTATATAATAAACATTATTTATATGTATGTCAGTGATAGATAAGCATAGGGGCTACTTCTCTTTGACTGGAATTTCTTAGAGTCCTTTATGAAGGAAATATTTTTTCTGCGCTCACAGAAAGTTGCCGCTCTAAATGTTGACCGTGAGACAGTTGAAAGAATTCTGGAACTTGTAGTTGAAAGAGTGAATGTTCTGTAATACATTGAATTAATTTCTGTTGCTTGTAGTTAAAGGAGTGAATGTTCGTAATGTTCCGTACGTACGTACGTATATGTGTGCGTGTGTGATGGCGTTTCATGGCGTTTGCCCGTAAAGGACGAAACGTTAGTTCTTTAGTTACTACATCTTTTATGTCAGAGAAGGCAAGGGAGGCCAAAAGAGGAAGAACGAATTTGTGTCGAAGTTTTTATAGTAAACATAGGCTCCAGAGAGCATATCTGATTTTTGGCGAAAAATGGTTTTGAATAACGCGTAGGCGTTGTTGCCAACTTGAATAGGTCAACCGCACGGACGTAGACGAGAACACGATTTTAATATTACCTGACCAATGAGAAATGAGAAAAATATATAGATATCAGATTCACTTTTTGTGTTTAATTTGCACAAAAATTGACATTGAAAAAAAGTGGTAGCAGAATGCTAAACAAGATTTTCTAACATTGTACGTATTGGGTTAATTGTGTAGAATGGAACCATGCACTATTTGAAATGTATTGCTTATGTCTGTGACAAAATAAATCTATTTTAGAGTTCGGGAAAAGGATAATTCGTTGGATAAGGTCGCTAAAAAGAGGAAAATCTTCTATTTTCCGAAACAGTTTTTTCTTTTTCTCCCTGTCCGGATATGGCGGAGTAGAAGTGGACGGGGAAGTAGGTGTAGAAATGGATGGTTGGGAAGGTGACGCATCCGAAGGTGTGGGAGTAGGTGTGCGTGGAGATGTGGGAGTAGTGGGGATGGAGTGGAATACGATTGAGAGAAGTGGGGGGGGGCTCCTAGATACTGGAGTATTGTCTTTATCTTTTTCTGGCGAAGCAGGGACGGATAAAGACCTGGGTTTACCCATGTCCCTCCCCACCCTACATCGTCCATTGTGTTTCTTCATTTGTACTTTCTCTTCCTCTTTATCTTCCTCTTCCCTGTTCCTTTTTAAGAAAGAGGACCGTGTTGGAGGCACTTTCTCCACTTCCATTGCATTGTCTATTTGCTGTGTGTTTTGTGAACTTTTAGCTGAAGGACTCTTTTGTTTTTGTTGATTTTGTTGTTGTTGTTGCTGCTGCTGTGCTGCTGTTGCTGCTACGGTTACTCCTCCTGCTGCACCTTGGGTTGCTATACTAGTTTCACCTTCATTCTGGGGGGACGAGGGGCCAGCTTTCTGCTTGCGTCCCATAGCCATCACCTCCT